GGGGGGGGAGGACCCCACCTGCGTGCAAACACACGTCTCATGTGATGCTCACAAATTCAGAGCCCACCCCAGCACTGAGAGCCAATGGGTCAGAGCGGGGAGCCGGGCCCAGCGTTGGTGAGAGTGAGAGTGGGGCGGGCGGGCGGGCTCGCTCCCCCTCCTCCTCCCAATATTTTCACCAGGCACCTATGGCAACAGGTTCCCCCCTCTGTGCTGCTCCTCAGAGGATAGGAGTTGTCGCAGTCCCTAGCTACAGAGCCTGGAGTCTTTCGCTCAAGCGGTAGCAGCTCATGCTTTCAGTTCTGGAGGACTCCGGTTCAATCCCCGGTGTGTTGGCCGTCACACACACTCAAGCAACGTCCACCCATGAGGGGGAGCCAAGAAAGCTGCAGGCGTACAACAGACATCCAGAATAATGAGAGAATAACGTAGCACGTAATGATGTATGATTTAACCACATCCTGCCAGCCGCCCTTTTTGAATAGCAGAAAGGAACGGCCTAACGCGCCATTAGTAGAAATGCATCAGTCAGAATTGCTTTGCGTCTGAATTGACTTCAAGGCAGTAACAGACCTCTGAGGGTCGCCATTTTGTGGTAGGTTTAGCATTTTAAAATAGGTAAAAGAATGCCAGGATTGTTTTCTCTTGCATTGCAACTTAATGTTCCTGCTCACAATGTTCTGTGTAAATTAATTCTGTTTTGTGTGTGAATGAGGAATGTGTGTATTAAGAGATAAGTGTGAAGGCCGTCGCTGAACCAGATGGTCTACGGAGGAACCGGAGTCAGACGCAAGGAGGCTGCAACACGCCCCTATTGAAATGTCAGAGGAGGGCAGATTGACGACTCTAAAGATGGGGCAGGCTCCTATCAATGGGGACAAGATAGCATGGGGTAACTCCCTGAGAGACTTGATAAAAGAATGAGATAAAGGATGAAAAGGACAATTTAAGAAAACAAGCACTTGTCAAACAATTGATTACAGCATGACGGTGCAAAACTCATTGATACCAATGAAGGAAAATCACTATATAACAGAGTGCCTTGCCATGAAACTTTGGGTTCGTCCTGCCAAGACTTCCCTGGAACATCGTCTTGCGACCGACAGAACCTGGCTCCTACCTCCCCGTGATCAACCTAGCTGGCCACTAGATTGATCCGGACTCTGGACTGGTAACTATACCATCAACTGATGGGACAGTGTGTGTGTATGTGATTGAATACATATGCTAATTGTTGTATCTTCAATCAATGCGGCGTATTGCCTTTTCCCCTGAAAAAGAGCCCGTGTACGTCTTATAAGCATAACACTCATCCTCTGCTAAAAGCACACCCCCCCCACATCATCTCCTTGGCTTCAGAGAGCAACTCCCCTCCTTGCCTGGTGCATTGCCAGTTCCCACTCTTGCTTTAGATCCTGCCCCCTCATCTGATTAAAAAGTCTCTTTAATGGGCAGATAAACCAACCAACCACCGTGGTCTCCATTACCTGTCCACACAGTGAGCCGCAGTCATCACCCAGTTCTGCCTCACCAACGTCCCACCGCAGGTGTGATACCATTGTCCACCAGAGGAATACTGGAGCGAAATCTAGATTTTGGGTGACGAAAGGGAAAGAGAGAGATAATAAGACAGCAAATATCATAATGCCACTATATAAATGCACAGGACACATCCACATCTTGAATATCGTGTGCAGTTCTGGTTGCCCCATCTCAATTTGGAACAGCTTCCACATGAGGAAAGCATAGAAAGACTTTGGACTGTTCATCTTAGACAAGAGATGACTAAGGGGCGATATGACAGAGGTCTATAAAACCATGAATGGTGTGGAGAAAGTGAAAGTGTTATTTACCCCTTTACATAACACAAGAACTTGGGGTCATCCAATGAAATGAATAGGTGGCAGGCTTAAAAACAAACAAAAGGAAGCACGTCTTCACACAACGCCCAATCAACCTGTGGAACTCATTGCCAGGGGATGTTGTGAAGGCCAAAACTATAACTGGATTTAAAAAAGAATTAGATAAGGTCATGGAGGATATTAGCCAAGATGGTTCAGGGATGCAACCCCATGCTCCGTGTTTCCCTCAGTCTCACTGCCAGATGGTGGGACTGGACGACAGGAGATGGATCACTCAATAATTGCCCTGTTCGGTTCATTCTTCTTGAAGCATCTGGCATTGGCCATTGTTAGAAGACAGGATACCTGGTCAGATGGACCATTGGCCTGGCTCAGCATGGCCATTCTTATGTTCTCATGGTGGAAGAGGAGAGCTGCATTTTAAAGAGGAAATATCTCACAAAGGAAGCAACACCTCTCACCAGCCCAAAGTGAACGTGCCTCAGGTGCATGAAGAAACAGTCTTGCTTCTGTATGCACCAGGCACATCACATTAGCTGGTTTAAGCATTGGGCCATGGTTTATGGACTTGGTCTAAGCAGGATGTGCCCTATTGATAGTGGGGCTAAAGTTGGCTGGGGCTCCAGACATTACCTAGTGAAAAACAAAACAAAACACCACCACCAAACGAGAAGCTAAGGGCCGACTGGTCAGGGCTGGGGTCTGCACGGAGGCATTCCTCACTAAGCTAAACTGGCAATGTGGCCTTGTGCCAAGGTGGTAACAGCAAAGAATAGAGATGCCCACTTTAGATGCTCATCATCCCAGACACGTACACCCCTCTCTCACTCCAGGACAGGCTCAGGTGAGAGATGGGTCTAAGCCTTGAAGTTCGGATCAGTCTCTGGACTTCTCCAGGTTGGGAGTTCCAGTTTGAGTCAATCCCTCCTCTTTGTTATATGCTAAATGCTTCTCTTACAGGCAGCTTTGGTGTTGACGTGCACGTTGTACAACACAGCTTGGGCTTTGGAACTGGCAAAGGCGAATCCCACGTGGCCGCCCCAAGCAGGAAAACCGTAAATCGTTGGCTTTCAGCTGTGATTCAGCTGTTATTTCCTCTTGAGAGCGGCTAATCTGCACACTCAGGTATTCTGTACGCCGTTCCATCTGTGCACCCTCCTTGGGTTGTTACTGGGAGGACAGTTAGATGGCGAAGGGATTTAGAAGTTGACATTGTACTCACCTGCGATGGCCATGCACCGCGCTGTGCATTACTACCCCCAACAACCCGCACATTATCTTCCAGCGACTCTTCCAAGCAGTGTCCTTCAGGAGTAAAGAAGGAACAACATCTGGAATAGCTTCTGCAGGAGGAACCCCCAGTCCCATCACATCTCTGTTGTTTCCACCACAGGATGGGAGCCTAGACTTGCTTTTACTCCCTTTCTTGCAGAGAACATTTCCCGGCTCCAACTCCTCCGAGATAGAGTTTGAGAAGTGAAATGAAGTGCTCTGAGTGCCAGGCATCCCAGCTTTAATGATGAGGGGGGCAGATGTACAACCTTACTTAGCACCCACAGTGGGGGCCAGTTTTCCAGGAGAATTGCATACACATTGTGTGTGGACCTCTTGAAAGTCTGAAGTGCCCCAATGGGAAATGTTAGGAGCAGATAGGGTGACCAGATGTCCCGATTTTATAGGGACTGTCCCAATTTTTGGGTCTCTCTCTTATATAAGCTCCTATTACCCTCCACCCCCATCCTGATTTTTCACACTTGCTGTCTGGTCACCCTAGAAGCAGAGCAACTTTGAAAACTGTGAGGCCCCTGGGGATTAGGGAAGAGATGAATTTCTGGAGGCAAAATGGACATCTCTCTTATAAGGCAATGGAGGTTTTTCCTCATGTAGATGAATGCCCAGTGCACAGTGGGGCAAAACCAGCCACCGCAAAGCACGTTTCAGTGAAGACTTCACTCCTAGCTTAGACTTCAGTGGATTTCCCCTGCTAATACCTATTCTGGATGTACCTCCAGCTACCTCTCTGGGGTGGGGATTTTTATTGTCTGTGTTTGTACAGTGGCAAGCACAACAGGTCCCTACGGTGGCTGAGGCCTCTAGTTGCTACTTCAACATACGTGGTAACCAATAAGTTTCTTAGCACCAGAAAGCAAGACATGACCGCCTCAAAAAACAAAACCCCCACTTACCACAGAGGACAAAGACAGCGAGGAGGAGTAGTTTCAGCATCATGAGCGAATGGTAGGGACAACCTCAGTCACTCCACTTCCTGTATGCTTCTGGGTCTTGTCTCTCGTACTATGGCTGGTGTTAAATAGATTCCTATGGGGAGGAGGGGATGGGAAGAAATGCAGGTGATTTGGAAATACAAACAGAAAACTCCTTTTCTAACAAAACACACATTTCATTCTTGATTCCAGCGAAGGTCAAGGCTGAGACCTGGCATTGAGGGCACCAGATGCCAATAAACTCTCTGGAGAGTTAAAAAAGAGGTTGTTTTACACATCTAGAATGTGCTCTGAGAAATTGGAAGTGCAGAATCAAGTGAGCTGGGGGTGGGGGTGCCTGAACAACAAACGTGGGACCAGTTTTTCCACACCTGCGCCTCCTCTTGACCTCAGCTGGAGTGGTCGGTGCTCAGGATTAGGGCAAGAATTCAGTTTTTCTAAAAAGGTGTTTTTTTGCTCTGTGTCAGGACAAAAAAAAGAGACCTTTTGAAATTTTTCACGGACAACAACATGAAGGCCTTCTCCTTGACTAGCCAATAGCCCAGTTGTCAGGACATGGACCTGGGATGTGGGAGACTCCGCTTTAAGCCCTTGCCCTGCCTGATTTGGAGCAGCTGGGATTTTCAGAAGACTGAAGGGAGTTCGGTGCCCTAAACCCACTGAATCCCTTAAGATACTTTGAAAAATTCTCAGTAGTAGACCTAGGGGGAGGTATCTTCAGGGCTTGGAGAACCAAAGACTTACACATGATCAAGCAAAAGATCAGTTGAGGAGGTCTACAAGGGGCACTTAGGAATTCTTGTCCCTTATCCCACATACCCCAACACAGAGCGTCCAGGACTAACAAGATTCAATATATTTATTCTCTACCTTGCTCTACTATACTGGATCTTCACGTATCCTTCGCTAGAATCTAGTTTCCCTTCAATAGCCAGGTCTGTACTTAAAAACGTCAGAGCAGATCCTCACAGCCAAAGTGTTCCCTGACCATTTACAATATGGTTGAAGTTTCTAGTGTGGATTGGACCTATGGGTACTGACATACTCACGTAACTGAGTCCGCACCTTTAACATGGACCAGGCTTTGGCCCAGTTACATAAACCCCAACTCAGATCCTGTCTATATTACACATGATACTTGTGTTCTGACTGGCCTGGTGAAAGCTGTATTTGTACCACCCTGGGCCTCAGGGCCTTGTTTGGCTCTGTTAACGGAGTTATAAATATATCGTGACCGGATAACCATTTGCCATGTTTCCTATTGATATGACCCCCATGCTGTTTTGCAGCTGTGTGTATCTATAACCTTAAAACGTCCAGCTTCCTTTGTGTTTGGGGAGCTGTTGTGATAAACATATGCAATTGTGACCATTGGAAAGCAGCTGTAATTGGGTCACAAAGCGTGCTGTTGGCAACACGTTCTTATGCAGCCCACTGGAGAGCATGTATTACGCATCCCCAGCCATTCACGAAGGCCCTTTTGCGCCAAGCTACAGAGGCTCACACTTTCAGCTCGGAGATCCCCGACATCAGCCACCCCACTGAGACACCTTCCTAGAAGGCTGGTAAAACACCTTCAAACACGCACAGATTAGTTTCCATTCACCTTCTGGCAAAATGCAACCATCAGTGCAGTGTAGTGTAGCAAGTGAGGGATTGGGGGTGGGGACACGTACTTGTACCTGGTGTTGTGGACCCTGTTTAAGGGTCCTAGACACCATTTGACCTTTCCTCTCTCCAGGGTATAATAAAAGAGCTAATTTAGATTCAATTGAGAGTCTTATTACATCATTGGAGATTTTTAAGAGCAGGTTGGACAAACACGTGTCAGGGATGGTCAAGAGAATACTTAGTTCCACCTTGAGTGCAGGGGACTGGACTAGATGACCTCTCGAGGTCCCTTCCAGTCCTATGATTCTGTGATTCTAAAGGCACCCAAATTCATGGCAAGTGCCTCCCAGAACAGAAGAAGTCAACCCTGCTTCTGAGAGATCGGGGGAAGAGAATTTAGATACAAAATGTTTCTTCAGTGTAGTTTCCATTGGATTTGGTTCTGCGTAGTGGTTGGAACACACTTTCTAAATGGATAGCTTCCGGCCTGTGCTGATGAGATATAGTATAGTACGTGTCTCAGGCAACATAACTCATGAGTGCCCACCACTGTCTGTCTTAGGCACTTTCATAATAATAAATTAATACCTAGCTCTTCTCAGCAGTAGATCTCAAAGTGTTTACCAAGGTGATCAGTATCGTTATTACAGATGGGGAAACTGAGGCACAGAGATGGAGCAACGTGCCCAAGGCCACCCAGCAGGCCAGTGGCAGAACCAGGAACACAACCCAGGGCTCCCAAGTCTCAGTCCAGCGTTATAGCTACCTACAGCAAACTGCCACCGTATGCCCACCATCATGGGACATATACCTTCTCAGGCTTTGCCTACACCCAAGTTATACAATGCTTTAACTATGGTTAAGCAGTACCAACCAGTGTGGACACATTTATACCTGTTTAAGAGGTGCCTTTACTCATAACTTATTCCCATACCGCAAAGGGAATAAGCATACCAATATAAGGCAAGTTCATACTGGTATAACTGCGTCACACAGAGATTTGTGACTGAAATAGTTACATCAGTACAAAAATCTGTGTGTAGAACAGGTATTTGTTTCTTTAGGTCCAAGATGTGAGATTCCCATTTTCTCTAAACTTATTTACTACCTACAACATGACAGCATGGGGAGACAGATAGCTCAGTGGTTTGAGCATTGGCCTGCTAAACCCAGGATTGTGAGTTCAATCCTTGAGGGGGCCACTTAGGGATCTTGGGCAAAATCTGTACTTGGTCCTGCTAGTGAAGGCAGGGGGCTGGACTCAATGACCTTTCAAGGTCCCTTCCACTTCTAGGAGATATCCTATCTCCATTAATTAAAAAGCAACAGGAATCTAACAAATTCCTCCTACCTATTAAACGCCCTGGTTCTTGAGAGCAGTGCTAACACATTTCATAACTAGGGAGCTGCGTGCTAGTGACACTGTACTTCAGGTTGGATCTCTCATTTGACATGACATTAACAAGTGCCGAAAACACAAACCATGTTTTTAACTAAGCAATGTCTGTTCTGGAAGAACAGGCTCTCTGGCCCACAGCACAAATTATCCCACAGAGTGATCACTTTGCAAACTAGTTTGAGATATAGACATTCCAAATCAGTGGCTACACAAAAATAGCAACAGGCACTTGGGTAGAATCCCAACACTTTTAGCACCTGCTGTATTTCTGCTTTTTATCTTTGTTGAAATACAACACAGGAAATGTAGCCATGAAGTAAGAATAAGATAAGAATAAGATAAGATAATGACTGCAGAAGAGCCAGAAACTATAGGCCTGTAAGAATAGTTTAAGCAGTTAGCATAAGTGCAAGGCCTGACAGCCTGCGTAGGAGTAGTTGCTTAATAAGTTAGCATAAGTAAGGGACCGAATAGTAACCCTAAGTCACAAGATGACATCAGGCTTTGTTTGCTGTTCTGTAATAATCACAAGTGTTGAAAACCGCTGACAGGTAACTGCAAGAAGGCAGTTTGTACCAGTGCAGGGTATTTTTGGAGGGGAATATCAGCAAATGCCTAACCGCAGGTAACCATATTAATCCAATTGATGTATGTGTTAATGGCTTTCATTTAATTAATAGACTAACCGATAGGAGGAGTATCAGAGGGGTAGCCGTGTTAGTCTGAATCTGTAAAAAGCAACAGAGGGTCCTGTGGCACCTTTAAGACTAACAGAAGTATTGGGAGCATAAGCTTTAGTGGATAAGAACCTCACTTCTTCAGATGCAAGTAATGGAAATCTCCAGAGGCAGATATAAATCAGTATGGAGATAAGGAGGTTAGTTCAATCAGGGAGGGTGAGGTGTTCTGCTAGCAGTTGAGGTGTGAACACCAAGGGAGGAGAAACTGCTTCTGTAGTTAAGTATCAGGGGGTAGCTGTGTTAGTCTGTATCTACAAAAACAACAAGGAGTCTGGTGGCACCTTAAAGACTAACAGATTTATTTGGGCATAAGCTTTCGTGAGTAAAAACCTCACTTCTTCGGATGCATAGAGTGAAAGTTACAGATGCAGGCATTATATACTGACACATGGAGAGCAGGGAGTTACTTCGCAAGTGGAGAACCAGTGTTGACAGGGCCAATTCAATCAGGGTGGATGTAGTCCACTCCCAATAATAGATGAGGAGGTGTCAATTCCAGGAGAGGAAAATCTGCTTCTGTAGTGAGTCAGCCACTCCCAGTCCCTATTCAAGCCCAGATTAATGGTGTTGAATTTGCAAATGAATTTTAGTTCTGCTGTTTCTCTTTGAAGTCTGTTTCTGAAGTTTTTTTGTTCAATGATAGTGACTTTTAAATCTGTAATAGAATGACCAGGGAGATTGATCTGTTCACTTTGTGGCTTATGTATGTTACCATTCCTGATGTCCGATTTGTGTCCATTTATTCTTTTCATAGAATCATAGAATCATAGAATC